CCGTTGGAAATAGCAGAAGTATTTGCTTCCCATTTCGCTCACAATTCTACCCTTTTCGAATCACCCACCCAACCCTGCACACCGCTCATTTCCACCAGAAAAATACGTCAGATCCTCTTGTCGCTGAACCCGCAAAGCGACCTGGACCCGACGGGATTCCTCCCATTGTCCTCAAAATGTGCGCCCCAGAACTGGCTCCCCTCCTACGTCGTTTATTCCGTCTATCTCTAAATTCGAAGATATTCCCAACCCCATGGAAAATATAAGAAACATTTCCAATCCCCAAACGCGGCCACCACTCTGACCCAAACAACTACCGCCCCATCTCTCTCACACCAGTCATTTCGGAGGTAATGGAATCAATGGTTGCTGATCAACTCCGCCACCACCCGGAGCAGAACAATATGCTTAGCGACGCCAGTACGGTTTCCGATTACATCGATCTACCGATGACCTTCTGGTGCTTATTTTACATACATGGCCAGCGGCACTCGACAACCACGGGGAAATCCATGCTGTGTCATTGGATATACCGAAAGCTTTCGATCGTGTCTGGCACGCCGGTTTGCTGGCTAAACTACCCAAGGTTGGCTTTCCTTCAGAACTTGTGTCCTGGACAGCAAGTTACCTCAACGATCGCAGCATCTCTGTCAGAGTAGACGGCACCATGTCTCGTTCCATGTCTGTGAATGCTGGTGTTCCCCAACTTTCTGTATTTTCCCGTTCCCTTTTTCTGATGTTTATTGATGACCTTTCTTCAACTTCAAATTCTATTCACGCATTTGCCGATGACGCTACGCTACACTCTTCTCTGTCATATTCCTCTTCGCGCATCGCTAACTTCAGCACTAGTGATGACCGCACCTCCCTTAGTTTCTCCTTAAATTCTGATCTGGGCCTTATCTCTGCTTGGAGGTGTAGCAACCGTGCTCTGTGCAATGCCAGTAAAACTCCCCGTACGTCCATTTCTCTTAAACACACATCTTTCTCCCCTTCCTTGGTTTTCAACTCGAACAGTCTCCGTTCCACAGAATCATGCAACGTATTGGGTCTTTCCTTATCTTCTTCTCTTTCATGGTCACCTTATATTTATCGGCTTGTATCCCGCGCTGCGCGCAAAATTGGTTTCCTCTTCCGCGCCAGACGTTTCACCTTCATTCAGCTCCTCTCGTTTTACAAAGCTCACATTCGCCCTACAATTGAATACTGCAGTCGTGTGTGGGGTGGACTTTGGTCTACCTCGCTATCTCTTCTTGATCGGGTTCAACGTAAGGTCATCCGTCTCATCCAAAAACCGTCCCTAACATCCAACTTGCAGTCACTAGCTCGTTGTCGGGCAGTCGCTTCTTCATCCGTGTTCTATCGATACTACTTTGGATTTTGCTCTGATGAACTTTCCGCAGCTGTCCCTCTCCCACTTGTTCTACCTCGTAGATCCCGCGCACACGCGGCTAGCCACCCATTTCAAGTGATCATCCCCAGGTATCGCATTTCCTTCAATCATCTTTTTTCCAAGAACAGCACAACTGTGGAACACTCTCCCCCTTTCGGTCTTCTCTCCAACGTACAACATCCATGTTTTTAAACGCAGAATCAACATGTTGGTTCTAGCTGAAATGTTCCCCATACCTTCCTACTTATAGTATATACTCGGATCATGGGGGTTGCCCCTTCTACTGTATTCACTTTCGTGTAATAAAAAATGTAGTATATCAATTCTGTTTTGAAGATTAGATTTCAAGCAGGGGGGAAGGAAACAGAGGGAATCAGGATGTTCCAAATTCTTGCAGTTATCGTGAAAAAAGAAAACCGCGGATCAATGTGCGACATCTAGGAGCAGTCACTTGAGAGGGATGGATCAGAGTACGTGCACAAGACAGGTATAGAAGAATTAAGGGAAAAGCACAGCAGATTGGTGGTCATTTTTGCCACATCACGACCAAATGATGTTAGGAGTGTATCCAAAAATTGATGCGCCATATGTTGTTTTATTGTGAATGTTAATGTTATAGTGTTAATAACACAGCGATGTCGGTAGAGAATTATATTCGCCGACGTTTCGGTTACCGTAGGTAACCTTTCTCAAGGAAGGTTTTACAATCAAAGTCATGGAATCTAATGTTGCTGATT